TATAAAGCGGTTATTTACGGTGACGGTTGACGGTTAATAACCGTAACCATTGCATGCCTAATACTGATCAAGATAGGTCAATGAAAATGAGCGAAAAACTTGCTTAGAAATGCACTCGTTAATATCATGTTTTACTTCGCGAAAGTGAAAATGCAAATTATTTATTTGTATCACACCAAAAAAATATTATTTTCTATTTTCGCCTCTATTTTATTTTACAAAAAGGAATTATCTGTTATTGGTTTAAAGAAAACTGAGCAACGACGATACTAATAGTGGGTGTACGTAGAGAAAAAGTAGAAATAAGAAGCACAGAAACTGTAATGAACTTAGGACAGTAATGACGAAGAAAAAGAAAACAGATAAAGATGAGGTAACTTGTGAATCAAAAGTTCAAGAAATGATTTCAGTTGAAGAAGGAGATGGTACTGATGGCTCAACAAATAAAACTGGGGTGTTAACCATGACTGAGAGGAAAATACTCAGTACAAAATCAATCAGAAGTTTAAGAGGTTTTGACCGCTCCCTTTTTAAGAGGTTCTGACAGTCCTCAAGAGCTTTTGATCAGTATCAGTTTAAGAGGTTGTAACCGACTGTTTAAGAGGTGGTGACCGATGGCTAAGAGGTTGTGACCGCAACAGCAAGGGGTTAAGGTTCAGCTAGATCAAAATTCAAGTGAATTTTATTTTTTCGATTTTAATACATATTCTGGTTCGTCTTTGGACGCTGATTCCGAATAACACATTCCGAACTTCAAAAATCCTTTTCTTCGTGGAGAAAATCGCGAAATACTGAGACGAGGTCGAAAAAGCTAAAAACTATTCTTTTTCAGGCAATGGTTCACAATTTTTTCCCTTTACGTTTTTAGTTATTCTCATTAATATTTCCAAATTCTACGTTGAAAACTGATTCTAGAAAGGTCTCTTTCAATGACGTTTGGTCAAAACTGAAAGTTCCGCTGAGCTCAGAACTGGCTAAGCTCAGAGGTCGATACTCTCAGCTTGCAAACCTATCCCTACACATGTAGTCTACAGCTTGACCGCGCATATCGTATAGGCTGTGGAAATTTAAAAATCGATGATCCTCTGTTGGTGCGACTCATGTTTGCAACCTATCTAGTTTTTCGGTAAAGAGCTAGCACCTTCATTCCATACGCCATTCGAACCGCCGCGTCACGCGCTACAAACTAATGGCTCGACTTTCTTTATTTTCGTTTCCTGTAAAGAGGAATAGTGCCTGCATGCAATAGGAACATTACAAAATTCATCACGTGATTTTTTAATAAAAAGTTCATTTTCGCATGCATCCCTCACCCCCTCGATCCATCATCATAAACACAATTAGTGCAACTCTTATGAAGAGGAAAAAAGACGGCTATACACGGAGATTAAATTAAGCATGTAAAACAATCAATAAAAGTTGGTTTTATCTTCGCCGACGGCATCATATTTTTTCCAATCGATGACAGTTCAATTAATCATTTTTCATTTAAGGTTAGACTGCTTTCAACTACCTCTCAGAAAATCAGATCGAATTCGGTTCGGTTCGACTTCATTTTTGAAAAAATGGTTCGAGTTCGGTTCATTTTCGGTCTCTGTAAGGTAAAACAGAAGATTATTGTCGTCGATGCAATCACATTGTGTAGAAAAATAGATTTAATTTATTAAGTGAATAAAAATAAATTGGACTAAACGAAAAATAGAGAAAAAGTAGTTTTAGCCTATTTATTTTTTCATTTACAGTCACAACCTCTTAAATTGCGGCTACAACGTCTTGAAAAGACGGTTATAAGGTTCAGCTAGATCAAAATTCAAGTGAATTTTATTTTTTCGATTTTAATACATATTCTGGTTCGTCTTAGTGGCGCCTTATGTACAATATAGAGCGGGAATACACCTCCAGGGGTGGGCGAGTCTGGAGCTGGACTGGAAGATTCCTTTGAGAACTCGGACTGTACTTCGAGTGTGAGCGATTCAAGGTTTAGTTCCCTGTGACTTCAGGTAGCATTAGAGCCCTTGTCCTACCCTGTGACTTCGGAGCCCTCTCCCTCCCCTGCAGGGTAGGGTAGTATAGAGTAAGGGCACCCTGCACATGTCTAGTCTACCTCATCATTTGCATCGGAAAAGTTGAATTGTGCGAAGATTAAAGACTATTTTCTCACCGGACAAAAGACTGCTTTTTGATCAGTGATTTGGATAATTTGGTTATTTTCATTTAATATTTAACATTTTTCTGAAAATAAATTCACCTTTTGTCTGCACGACTTCGCCTCGTGCAGAGGGTACAGCACTAATGAGTACTGAAATGGTACAACGACTTCTTCATCAAACGTAGTTTCGTCCACCTTTCTCGCTTATCACCGTTCGCAGTCTCCCAGCTTACCTTTCATCTACTCCTCTTATTTTGTTGCAGTGGCATAACTACGAGGGAAGCCATAGCCCAATGCGATTTGAAATTCGATTTCGAATTATCATAGTGTGATCCAGTGGTTTTTTTCGAACTAATGGAGTTGGCCTAATGGTAAAAAGGCTCTCCACCGGCATCTTTTTATCGAACCAAAATCTATCATCTAAATCTAGCTTCACACGCTTCACTACACTGTCAGAAAAAACGTGTGTCGATAAACTACCCTCATACTTATTCTCTGTCGTACTTTCATCTGCTGCTCGTTTATTTAATTATGTTAGATTCGTTTAAATCAAATATGTGAATCAATATTTATGTAGAACCGAAAAACCGAAGTAAAAACGGTAGTTTGTCCTCGTATTTGTGATTTGTGATTTACAGATAGCCGAGTGCAAAACAGGATACTGCTCCCGCTTCTTTCAAGTTTGAGTTCAGATTTTTGATTGAGCTTTCCCTCCTTATGGGCATTCGGTGTTAAAAACCCTCACGACAGCTCTTTGTACACAAAAGAATGTTTATGACTAATAGCAGCTGTTAAGAAAAATTTGATAAAAATAGGAATAGAATTAGAGAATGGTTCAACGAAAATCGTAAGAAGTATTTCGACTGAATACCTTCTTGAAAATCAACTAAAAGCTTTCATGAATCTATTTAGAACCAAAGCAAAACAATATTTTTACCTGCACCACGTGCGCCACAAAAACCAAAATTATAATAATCAACGATATCCATATCTAACTTCGATTTTGCTTCATAAATTAAAGTAGCTTGTGATACAGTGGGAGGTGATCGTACGGGCTTTTTAGGTTTGTTTTTTGTTTTTTTTCCACAATCGCTTACCAAAAGACCACCAATAGCAGCAACTGCACAACCGACCATCAACCCAGCACCAAGTATAAGAAACGGAATAGGCATTTAGAGTAATGTTATATAAAGCTATATAATATGACTCAGACAAAATACGCAGAAGAAGATATTTATTATTAATACAACGTGTTTTGAATTCAAATAACAACTGATATACTCATTCTTATAAGAGAAGAAAATGTGACTTTCGGGGAACAAAATATTGTTATCTTTCGTTGAAAAACAATGACGTGAAGAACACCTACATGTTTCTGTTTCTTCGAACTCAAACAACAAGCACAAACATAATTATGTATACACTTGGTCACATATTACTCAGACACTCAGTATCACAAACGGCCTTCGTTTATATGTAAATGGAACAATGGCTGCACACAGCTCTTATACAGGATACTACGTACCAGCGGCTGGCTTGATGGATTACATTTTTATCGGTAACGGGCTGACCTTTATGACCAACGGGGACGGTTTCTGTTACGGTCTTTTCAGCCCCATGTCCACTAAATCGCTCAATGCCTCTGTCGATGAACTACACATCTATCTTGATGAGTTATCCGCAGACGATGTTTATACTCTAGCGCATATTTAAATCAAGGAGAGAATATTCACTTCACTTTATTATAACCTTTCGTTTACCTCTTGGGTTTTAACTTTTAATATAGTTTTCAATGAATTGAAAGTTGTAAAAGATCTACGTTAATAAATAAGTGCAAACGGGACAAATCGTTTAACACAATCTTTAGCCATTCGTGTACATAAACTCACATATGGCACAGATGCAACCGGCCAACAAAATTGGGAGCGGTACCTGGCCGATATCTGCATACCGGACCGGACCGCCCGGTTAACCGGCCATTTTTCTAGGCCGTTTTATTTTCAAACGTTTTCTAGCCCTGAATAATAGTCAATTGGTCTCTCTCTCTCTCTAATTGGTAACCTCTATTGGTACCCGCAGATCGTTGAGAAATAGTTTTTTAAAATCCGCTAACAATTGAAAATATGTGACTGCTGCTAGAAAACGATGTTATCGTCCAGTACTGAACCAACCCAAGCTTCTGGTCGATTTCGGGCCAAGGCACCTTTTTATTTTCAGACGTTTGTCTCTGCAGTTATGTCTCACTCCTAGCCGTGTTAAAAATTCGCTTTCTAAGTGTATCAAAGTCTTCGTTCACAAATCATCTGAATCTAAGATTAATATATCGACATCTCTTTTTCATGTAATATAAGTCTGGAAAAACAGCTTCAAGGAGTAGTCACTGATGGCAAACACTATAAATGTGTGTCCGAGATCGATGATGGTACGAGGTTTTCTATAGAAACGCACATGAATAATAGTGAAACAAAATTGTGGAGAAAACTAGACAGATTCGAGCTGTGTTTGACGACGGTGTGTGACAACTATACAGTAAAGTGCTATGATGACTGAAAAATAAATCTGTGGAAGGTAAGAAAAAACTTTCTTTCTTTGTCAAACAAACTTTTATAATTATCGCAAATTGCAAATAACAAATCACACATATTTTTTTGTAAAGAATGAGTAAAAAGTGTTACACAAGATTAACAGTATTTCAGCGTGATTCCGCATGTAAGTTTTTACGCACACTAACCAGCAGCGGTTACCAGTCTAAACAATAATGTCATATTTTGATGGAAACAATAGTGCATCGGTTTCTATATTATAACGTGTCTGACAGTTTGAATCTGTTATTGTTCCCCGCGTCAGATCAATGACTTTACCGAAACAATGTCAAAGTGAGTCAGCCATAGGCACAATTGTTTTAGATCTATTTGCAAAATCGACTTTTTTCACGGAAGTAAGTGTTCAATTTCAGGAACGAAAGCAGTTAGAAAGCTGCTTTTTTCAGGAATATAGGACTAATATCATTAGAACAAACAAGAAAGATTTAAGAAGATTCATTGAACGGAAAGGAAATAATTAATTTTTCTCTCGTAAGGCAGGTGCAACAGAATGACTCTACGTTTCTTCTAGTTAAATTAAGAGTAGCAGTCTTCTTTCTTTTAGGACAACAAAATTTATTTTGGGTTGGTTTAAACTATATTTATTTGAAGATAAAGAAATCCTAATAAACCTCGAACTAAAGCGGCAAATTGCCATTACATAGTTCAAGGAGTTATTTACAAGGTGTTACTCTTTTCCATAAGAAAAACAACAAAAATAAAATAAAACTAAATATAGGTGAAAGAAGAGAAAAAAAGGCTGCGGGTACAGTGAATGGATGAAGCGGCGGGATGGAAAAAAGGGAATGTTGATCATTGTCTATTTACCACTCCG